CAAAATTTATTATGGTTTATAATGGCAAATGATACTTTGAATATTACATGTTAATAGCTTGATTGGAATTATAACCCTGAGTTGACAGTTTGAAAAATTTTGAGCCAGCCCTACCCCCAAGGGCTGTAGGGTGGGGCTCAAAGGAGTCAGTGTGCTAAAATTTCTTCATTTTCCTTGTGAAGAATCAGAGGTGCTAGTTTCAAATACTTTTTAGTCTTAAATCTGTATGCTAGATATTGAATAAGGTGGTTTTATTGCTTTTGTCTCTTTGAATAATATTTTTGTTCGTGTTAAAAACAAAATCAACTCTCTGTATAAATATATCAGGTGACCGTTATGGCCCATGTGCCTCTTGTTATACTTCCTGCAATGAAGTCATTGGGGTGTATACTGTAATCAGCTTGTCCATCTGTCCATCTTAAACTTGTGTGCCGATTTAGGTAAAGCATGATCCATTATGCGTTTACAAACTAGACATTATATTTCAGTTTCACATTTTCCCCACAGTTATTGCCCTTTTTGTGTTTGATAATTTCAAACGCTATCCGGACAAGTTTTCCAAAATGATGTGACCAGTTATAATGAAACTTTTGGGAGTGACTGATACATCAGCAATATGCCTAAAATTACCGAGTTTTAAATATCTGTTTAAATTCAAGCTGGCTGCCATGGACTGTTAAGGCTTAGACAGTAATGATTATACTAACTTGGGTTCGATATGGCTAGCTTTGTTGATACTTCGTAGAATTGTTTTATTTTGAATTAAGAGGACGACATTCAAATTTTTGGGATTCAAGATAGTCATATTACCCTCTGAATTTCTGACATTAAAATTGTATTGGTTGAGCTGGAGATATTAGTAAGCATGTGGCTTACAGTTCTGGAGACATGGACAGTTACCCTTCATACCAGCTTGAACTTTGAATGTTGATAACATTGATTTTATTGTTAACAGTGAAGGAAGGATTTGACAGAGAAGCAGAGCTACTTTTCAAAAGGATGATAGAAGGTCAACTTGACAACATCCCAAACATTCCCCGATCTGTTGTCCGCATCTTCATCAGCTCCACGTTCTCTGGTTAGTTGTTTTCTTGGTGCTTATCAATGTTATAAGGGCACCACGTCGACCCTAATGTCGAGGTCAAGATCACCATTTCCAAAAATAGACCATGGGGGTACGGTCCTAATCTCGGAATCCATAGGTCTAATCTTTATAATCTAAAAATAGCCAGGGAGGAGGGATATAGATGAGGCACATGGCGGGTCCCTTGCTGACCTGTCAGTGTTGTAGTTTGTGTATAGGTTAAAGCTATTGTTAAAAGTTAAAAGTCACCATGTCAGGTTCAGGTGGAGAAGCTCCTCTAAGATACAAAAATGTATTACTTGGGGAGAAATCAGATGTACAAGTATTTCTAAGAATCCATGTATAGTAGAATATTACAATTTTTTTTAAAAATGTCCCAATTAATTCACTTTCACAGAAGAGAGGGGCATTTTTTGTTTGTTATTTCCATCAGTTGATTCAGTTTATTTGACTGTCTGATTGTCTATTCCACTTGCTTAAATTTCCTCTTTAGCTCTATGCACTTATGCTAGATGTCTAACAATCATCAAACTTAATATGTGGCTACCTCTTATGGCGTTTAACACCATTATATCAAATCAGTTATCTTTAATTTTGCTATCATTTGTTTCCATTCCTTTGGTTAAACTTTGTTATTTGGTCCATTTTCATTTTACTCTGTATTGTATTTGTCAGACATGCGAGCAGAGCGAAATGCAATAGTGCGGGAGGCTACCCCAAAGTTGCGGGACTTCTGTGCGGAGCATGACCTTGACTTTCAGATGGTGGACATGAGATGGGGAGTGACAGATGACAGTCAGAATGACCACTCTGTAGAGAAGATATGTCTGATGGAGGTGGAAAACTGCCAGAAAATCTCCTTAGGACCAAACTTTGTGGTAGATACATGTTAACTAAAAATACTCTTTCCCAAATTATAAAGTTGTTATTTATACACACTTCTTGATGGGACATGGTATGATGTTTGACATTCATCTGTTAACTTTTTTTCAACCAGTTTCCATTCAAACATTGAACTGATTTCGTTTGGAATTCATAGTCAAAATGAATGTCAACAGGAACATGGTGTATTCCAAGAAGCACACTACCAGTTCATGTTGAATAAGTCACACTTCATTTGGCATTTATATTGACTATGAATGCATATCGGATATGATTGCCATCTGGACTTGGTAGGGTTTTATAGTTGCATTGTCATAGAGTGGCAAATATAAAATATTTTCTTTTATTACACGTGCTTGTCCTCAGATGAAGTTAAGTCACAAGGACTTGTATCATTTGTGATGCTTTGTTTATATACATTTTTGATAGGTCATTTAACTGTTTATTTTAAGGTAATTTAACAATTTATCTCCAAATCAATCAATATTCTTTTTAGCTGATAAAAGGGTCCAGATACGGTTTCCGTCCGATCCCTATTGAGTTATCTCCAGAGGACTTTACACTACTTACCAGCTACATAACCAACCCAGAACACACAAAACTGCTGCAGACCTGGTACCAGAGGGACAACAACAGTAAACCCCCACAGTATGTCCTACAGGTGTGTATACCTACAGTATGTTCTACAGGTGTGTATACCTACAGTATATCCTACAGGTGTGTATACCTACAGTATGTCCTACAGGTGTGTATACCTACAGTAT